TTTTCTCCATCCAACCGCCAATTCTTTTGATCACCCTTCCCACTAAGTGTAGTTTAAACTTGGTCCCACACTCGGGAGGATAGCCAATGTTATCTGTGCCAGGCCGAGTAGGCTGGCATGCCTAATGCAAGGCACACTTTAAGCTCACAAGAGGTTTGTGCAAGAAAGTCACGACGGTGATGTCCAAGTATTGGTGGGCGGGATCGTTGGATAAGTGAGGAATGCATTGGCAATCGTAGGACAAAATGCATGTCCCTATGTTTAGAGGGGGCATGGGTTCCCGTGATTTGGAAGTATTTAATGACGCGATGTTGGCAAGCATGACATTTGTTGGTTAACCTGGACAGTTTGTGTGCGCGGGTGCTAATAGGGCGCTATTACCCTGATGGAAACTTTCTTAAGGCGGCATGTCCGACGAGTGCCTCAACAACTTGGCGTGCTATATGTCAAGGGAGGGAGGCTATGAAGCTGGGACTAATACGTCGAATCGGTGACGATAGAGCGATGGAAATATGACATGATAGCTGGATTTCGGGAACGTCCTCATTGAAGCCAGTTACAAGGTTGTCAGATGCTCCAGTACAACTTGTTGCCGATTTGCTGGATGAGGTGGGTGCATGGAACGCAGAGATGGTTCGGGAGATTTTTTTTGTCCGCCAGATGCTACTGCTATATTGAATATGCCTCGACCGAGAGTGGTCTGTAGTGATTTTTGGGCGTGGGAAGGAGAAAACTCAGGGGTATTCTCTATGCGCATTTAGCTCATAGGATGTTGAATTGTTGATGGAAAGGAAACTAGCAGAGAATCAGTCGCCAGAGAGTTCGATGCATGGAGAATCAGTGTGGAAGGCGTTATGGATGATCCTTTCACCATGGAAATTTTCGCATGTAGAGATGCTATGAAGCTAGCAGTTAACAAGTCTATATCATATGTGATCACTGAGTCAGACTGCCAAGCTGTGTGTAATCTATGGAAGCAGAGAGATGACAAATCCATAGATGGCACTGTCTTCACAGAGATGAGGTCATATCTCTTAAATTTTCATGTTTTAGTCATAATTTTGTACTACGGGAGGCGAATATGATGGCACATTACTGTGCCAAACACTATTTATCCTCTTTTGGTGTGGTTACCACTTTTGATGTAATCCTTGAATTTATGATTGAGCATGTTCAATCAGATTACATGTTTTGGGGCGGTTCTCAAAAAAAAATTGCAGGCACACCCAACACACGAGCCAGCTGGTGTGCGTGTTTTTTCTTTTGCGGCGGTAACATGTGCGGTCTGCACATTTAGCAGCAAAATATTGAAATCGAGTTTGATCAACCAAAGACGCCACAGTGTGACGGTTGTAGCGCATGACAAATGCGCCTGGCTATCTCCCAATATTTTATTTCTTTTGGTTTTTCTATTTTCCAACAAAACAAAGCCAAACCTGAACGGTCCGTTCCTCCCAATCAGAGCAACAAAAGCGTGCACCTTTCGGTTGCAATCACGTTTTTCAAACAGCATAAGTAAAACTACATGTCACAAATTTCAAGGGGGATCCCTTCTAGTATTAATCTAACGAGCAGCTCACCTGCCAATTCCTCAAAAAAGGAAAAAAGGAAATCAATGGGAAGGTCGAGAGCGATTTCATTTTTCCATCCTAAAGAGCCAAGGGCCGGGAGCTCATCTGTTTGTTTGCTAGTTAGCCTTTGGCATTTGCTCTTCCGGCACTTGGGTTAAGTTCAATAAGCGATGACATACGTACTTTGCCGTCTGCGTATGTAGCTAGCACAAGCAAGAAGCAACATGTGATGCATGCAAGGTGCTCCGTTTTGGAGCGCAATGTTGGTTGCGCTGTAGTTTTAGCCATGTCGCAAACAGAGCAGTGCCTTGGAAGCAACCTGTTGCTTACTCGGACGACTTGTCAAAGATCTTGCTGTTAGTATGATGACTCGCTGGATGGATCGCCTTGGCAGGAGCTCTGACTTCGTTTCTGGTCTCCCTCGTCTTGCCTCATCAGAAGACTTTAGCTTCTCAAGGAAAAATAATCCAGGTCCCAGTAACACTGCCTCTCCAATTATTGGGCATTATTGAACAGCATAGTTCGCCCCCACACGACTCCTCCATGCTTGCCATATGACGCTCGCACAGTTCTTCGCTGAAAGATTCAGGCAGGGGGCGGCACACGCAGGCACGGCCATGCGTGACGACAAGGTAGGGTAAGACAGTGAGCGAGACTTGGAGCTGACTTTTGGGAGCCGATGTCGGAGCCCCGCCGGCCCTTGCACTCCACGGGAACTCGCACCGTCAACCGAGGAAGAGGAAAAGTACCTTCACATCGGCGGCGGTAAATAATGCGTTTGCACGCGTGTAAACCGAGCCGGAGGAGCGAATGAACGGCTGACGAGTGACGACGCTTCCGTACCAAGTCACCACGTTCCCAGCGCGGTCAAAACGGTTTGGTAAACGTCGGGTCACCAGACGGATTGCTAACTTTTACCAAACTCTCCAACCACTGGTACTTAGAATTTTCCATGCCGATGACACGGATTATGCTGATTAGTGGTTGCTACTCCGTTGGTATTTTCTCGCCATGGTGTATCATTCACGGTTATGCGCGCACGGCACCGTGGTTACGCCGTCGCCTGAGTACAAATATCGCAGCTGGTTTAAGTTAGTGTCCCCACCCTCTATCTACCCAGATATCATTTGATTCGATTGACACCAGCACTCATGTCGTTAGCACATTTTTTCTGGTCGCGGTTTTGGCCTGTAGCGTCCGCAATCATATTCTTCTTCTTCCCTGGCTAGTCTTGTGCATATTACTCCAATATTACAGTATTTAATTTACGCATGCATGCATCAACCGGCCAAAAGGCTCCTGCTCGTACGTGGCAAAAGGGAAAGGTGAAGTTTCTGATCATGCTTCTGGCCCGGGCAACCGGCCGCGCAAAAAGGGTTCACCTGCTGTATGTCCCCGTAGCAGAACTGAAACGCCTCTCGTGGGTCGTGGCCACCATCGCCGTGACTCGTCCAACGCGGGCCCACCATCATGTGACGGGTGCTGTCTCGCTTAGTTATTTTGTTACCAATAAAGTCAGTGACGGAGCTAGGTGGTGTTTGGTTCTCTAGTCCTAGGACTTTTTCTAGTCCCAACTAAAAAGTCCTTAGTTCCTAAAAAGTCTCTCCTGTTTGTTTTCAGAGACTAAAAAGTCTCTAGTCCCTTCCTAGAGGCTATTAAATGACCATGTTGCCCCTAGTATATAGAAAAATAACGATCAAACAACACCATGGGGTGGCGGGTCAATAGGTGCATGGAGGGGCATTGTTGGAAAAGTCTCAAAAAGACTCTTCTTGAGAGTCTTCTTCATTTAGTCCCAAATGCCTAGTTTAGTCCCTAAAAAGTCTCTCCCGTTTGGTAAAAAAGTCTTTAAGAGGGACTTTTTTTAGTCCCTATACAAAAAAGTCCCTGGAAATAAACACACCCCTAGGATCAAATTACACGGGGTGCCAAACATCAACACATAGGGAAAAGTTTTAGAGAAATTACACAGAAGTAGGATGATTATGTCTATAGGTCATAGTAAATCCAACAAATAGTTCAAAAATTAAGGTTACATACATTATATAAATTATTTTTCACTTTTAGAGGGGTGCCATGGCACCCACGGCACCCCCTAGATCCGCCCATGAATAAAGTGGACATTCGCCACTGATAAAAAATGATAGTTTTGTTTCACTGACATGTGAACCATGGTACTCCTCATACTGCGGCTTGCTCTGTACTCTCTTTTCTGCGCATAGCCAGCCCAGTTGTTCTCTGAGCTAATACAAAAATCACAGATGCGGACGTTTGCAGACTTCACGTATGCATGCAAAGTTTGGAAGTCTGCAAACATCCACATTTGTGGTTTTTGTAAAGCAACACTTGCCACAACATGATACCTAAAAGAATATCTCAATGATTAATCGTCTTGTATGCAAGCGGTCAATGCCAAATCTGTATGATATGAGACGGCAATACTAGCATAATATGGAAAATGTAAGTGCTATTTGCTTAATAAACCTAACACCTCGATATTTTGACTAGCTCTTGATATCGTATCGTTCTCGAGGCAGGGTGTAATTGGTATCATCTTGATATTTATATATAGCCTTCATTCAAAAAACTATCCACCTCTGGAAGTCATTTTATTTAACTCCGATTCTTTCTTTATGTAAATATATAAAAAAATCTGTGAACACATGAAAAATATTTACTTTGATTTTATAATTCTATGTTGAACAGACTTATACAGTAGGGCATTTTTTTCCTTACATGAACACCATGCATTCCATTAAGGCACGGCAAGATCGTCGGCCACCAAACGATGTACAGTAGAGTAGGACACTTATTTACTGTTTCATCCCTAAAAAACCATGAAGCATTCTACAAAAGAGAAGACAATAATATAGCAACATATCCTCGACAATCATATCGTGCTTGCAACAGTCGTGCCCCACTTGACCGTGATAGTGCATGCAATCTAACAAATCACAAATATAGCGTACTCGTAGCACATTTTCTGGAAAAGAGAAACTGCAGAAGACATCCATCCTCAGCAGTGCACCACCCACATGCATGTAATAATGCCAAGTGTAAAACTAACATTATTGAATCCTTTAACCAACAATAAAATACTCGTTTAATCACAACTGGCCTAATAGTACTAAAAATCAATCAATCGTGCCGAATTATCCATTAATTATTGGAGCAAGCACATGCACATACCGACACACGAAAAGACACCCTTAATTACAGCGTCATGTCACCAAATTCGCAAGCACATTCCTAATTCATCGGCGGTGCTACGATCGGGCACCACCGAACGTATACGTACGTACGCACGCACTCAACACAACCCACACACCCAAGAAAAAGAAAAGGAAGGACAGACAATACGGGCACACGCACACCGACTCTCTACGTACGTTACGTATTGGTCGATGCCGGCCGGCTCGCCGGCCAGGCCTAGGGCGAGCACCGGCGCGGGTGCGGCGGCGGGCCTGAGGCGGCGAGGGAGTCGCGCGACCTCGTGCACGACCGGTAGAGGCTCAGCACGGCCAGCCACTCGGTCAGGGCGTCGGTCACCGCCGGCCACCGCCGCTGCTGCTTGCGCCTCCTCGCCTTCGCGGGGACGACGGAGTAGGCCCCGTCGGCGCCGAAGGAGTACTCGGCGACCACCTTGTTGTTGGAGAAGAGCGACGGCGGGAGGGGCAGCGGCGACGGGGCGCCGGACTTGCTGCGGGCGCCGGCGCCGCGCGCGGGGGTCTTGGGGATGCCGGGCCGGTGCTCCCAGGAGAAGGGCACCGCGGAGGCACGGAGCGGGGAGAGGAAGCGGTGGTGGAACGGCGAGGGCGCCGGGGAGAAGGGGGCGAAGGAGAAGGAGGCGGAGGAAGACGACGCCGACGAGGCCGACGAGGACGAGGAGGTGGGAGCAGACGACGGCTTCGGGGACGCGAGCAGGCGCTGGCGCCGGCGGCTGGACGGGGATTTGCGCGCCGGGGCCGGGAGCGGCGACGGCGAGGAGGGGGTGGGCGGGTTGGGCATTGCAAAGAAGCTGTGGCTTGTGGTGCCGTGGTGTGGTGTGGTGTGGTGTGGAGTTTCGGAGCTCAAGTGTGGGGCTTGTGGTCTTTTATGGTTTGGTCATGGCGTCGGCGCGCGCGCAAATGGGGGCGCGGTCTGGCTGGCTAGCTCCGCCACGTGGCATGGCATGACGTGGACGCCTGCCTTGCTTCCTCTGTACACGTTGGCAGAGGAGCCGGGTCGTATGGCAATGGCATACTCTTTTTCCTGGTGTTGTGAGTTTACAGAAGACATGCCAAAATCACGGCTCATACACACCCATTTTTCTAAGGCTGGTCATAGCGAGGAGTAACTTATACTAGTGTCATGCATACGACGCTAGTCTAAGTTACTACCTTTATGGTGCAAAGTAACATAGCATTAGTGTCATAGAGAGACTTCATTTATTAATTTATAGATTCATTTTGTCTTGGAAATCGCTATGTTACAGTACATATCATGTTACTACTTCTCATTAACTACATGCCATATAAGCAAAATTTTCTTGAAGTACGCTATGTTACTAGCTAAATTACTACCACTATGACTAGCTTAAAAAACACAAGTAAATAAACACGAGAAACTAGGATTTTGATTTTGAAGAAGCAATCCTTAACACACCGTACATGATGTTTGCTTCCATCATGATTACTTTGATTTATACTCCCTCAAGTTCCTCAAACGGCCAAACTAATAGACACAGACATAGTTTTAAAGACACAACTTCCAACAAAATTAAGAGTTGGCACTCCATGAGGAGGGTTGGGATTACCAAAAAAACACTGCCTCTGACACTTTTGTTACGGAGAGAGTAGAACCCTCCATTTAACATTGAATGATTGACAGTGGCGGACCTACGATCAAATTGCTAGTGGTGCCAAATATCAACACATAGGTAAAAGTTTTAGAGAAATTACACAAAGGTAGTATGATTGTGTCTAAATGTCATAGTAAATCCAACAAATAGTCCAAAAATTACACAAAAGAAGTATATTTTTTCTCGTTTTCATAGGGGTGCCATGACACCCATAGCAACCTCCTAGATCTGCCCATGATGATGGACGTTTGCCCTTGTGATAAAACCGGTAGTATTACGAGGTCCCTCTAGCTGAACATTTGCTTTACCCAAATGAGCCGATGGCGCACCGTCAATGTTGCCTATTCATCGTTGAAGCTAGTCAGTCGTTGTTGATCGACACATGTAGTCACCGACACCATGGTCCTATTGGACTAATGTTGTCGGGGGAAAACATTGAAGCTACATCGTGAAGGATGTAAGATCTCATCATCCAAAAAAAGCTCAAGGGCATTCCGCGGCATCATCGCACCATCGTGAAGGAAGGGAGTCTAGAGGATCAAATTACAAAAGGAAGCCACCGTCACCGCCATCGCCACACTGACAAACCCTACAAACCATAACCTCATAGGGCAAAAAAAATCATCAGAGCTTATGTCAATAAGTCATCGACACCATCAACCGTCAAAACGGGAGACTCGACAGAACTACATTCGCCAAACCTGCATTGCAGCCACATCAACAAAACGCCACCATAACCATACTAAGGCCTTGTACAATGAAAGATGCTTAGGGGAGGTGTTTAGAAAAATAAACCAGGCTTTCCTTAAGCACCGGTACTTATTTCTACAGGATAGACGCTTAACTAACCGTCTCTCCTATAGAAATAGGCACATGTGCTTCAGAAAAACTCGGTTTATTTTTTTAAGCACCTCTCTAAGCACCTTCCATTATACAAGGCCTAAAGGCCCCTAGGTGTGAAAAACAAGAGCTCCATCCGATAAATACAGGCCTTCCCGATTTTCCACACTACCACACCGATGGGACTGGTGGTGGAGGAGGAGGGTGGTGACCTACCGGCGGAGGAGAGGTGCTGGCCTGGTGCAGCCACAAAATCTCCTCTCTATGCTTTTCAAACATCCTATCTGAACATATTTAAAGACACTGGTAGTTAAAGTTTGAAAGGTCAATTTCTTTTTGAAATGTCAAATTCGCTTTATGTAAGTAGGACTGGTTTTACTAAGCTAAGTGGAGTACGTTATTTGAGGAAGATTAGGACCCAATGAAGGAAGAGCGGAAGATAACCACAGCATTCTCCCTTTTTTTATTAAAGGTAAAGAAAAAAGATCGTAGCATTCTGCTTTCGCAAAGAAGAAGAAAGCGAGCTGAGGCGTGTTGCCTCTTTCTGAATCTTTAACCCATCATCCTGTAATGGCAGAAACACGGTGGAGCCGAACCAGGATTGCAACTTTGACCGTTTTCCCCACAGATCTGGACGCGCTAACCCGATAGAAATCGACTCCTTACCCGTCGCATGGCTGCGAAGCGAACCAAATCAAGGCTGTTGTCATGGCGTGATCGGTCGGAGTATATGCTCACTGTTGGATCTAATCATATGTTAGCTAGTCTAAGAGCATCTTCAGCAGGACTTGACAAATCCATACACGTCAATCACAAAAGACAATGTCGCATGTATATAACAAATGTTGGTGCAAAGTATAGATAGTGTTTACATAAAATTTATTTTAAGTGCACAATTCAAACAGCTCCTTGGTTGCCATTGCGGGTTCATATGTGCTCCACAAGATCATTGAGTAACTGCGTGTGCACCTGATGATCTCGAAGATTCTGATGCATCTGCAGAAATTTCATAACCTGAGCCGCATCTTGATCTTTCGGGATTTCAACTTGTTCTCCATGCGCCTCAAAATCATGGGTTTGGACTATACCATCATCCTCATCCTTGACAATCATATTGTACAGAATAACACAACATGTCATCAGCTGCCACAAAGTTTCTGATTTCCACATCATTGCGGCGCTCCGCTCAATTCCCCGACAAGTTTGAAGCACACCAAATGCCCTCTCCACATCCTTCCTAGCCACTTCCTGTATTGTTGGAAAGTGGCTCTACTTATTACCATATGGTTCGTATGGTCCTCACAAACGCCGCCCACTGAGAACAGATACCATCGGCAAGATAGTATCCATGTTGTACTATCGACCGTTGATGGTGTAGTTACACGACAATGATATTCAAAATCTACCTCATATTTAAACTGGATATGAGGGGCGCCGGTTAGTCCGAGCGTTTGAGACCCATTTAAGATATTCGTTTGGGTTAAAATTTTAGGACCGGACAGTGAGCAATCCACCCAGACGTATAAGACGAGTTTGAGGCGCCCGGGTGTAGATGCTCTAACGCCCAACTATTTCGTTATTTAGTCTACTACGAGGTTTATGTTCCTCACGGGATCAGCCGGTCAAGGTCGCTTGGTTCCCCTTGGAAATATATGTTCTCAAATCTCAACTTCTCATCCACCCGCACGGAGCAACAGCGACCAAAATCACACGGAAATCCTACGGAATCTCTGCGGTCCGGACTCCAGACGCGGCTGGATTTCCCGGAACTTTCGCATTAATCCGTCGCATGAAACCGTAGCATTTCCACGAGAATCCCGCGCTAAAAAACATGGCTCGTTGTCGCACGGTTCGAAATAAAAACGCTGGACATCTCTCCTTCCCTCGCTCCGGCTGGCCCGTACCATCTGCAACCGATAGGAGGGGGACTACACTACCAGTTTGCGTATTCTACACCGAAATCGACCAGCAAATGCCGCCGGGCGCACTAGCTACATCGAAATGCCAAATATCCGGCTCAAAGTATACATGTCAACCGCACCGGGGTTGCGTATTCTACACCGAGATCGACCAGCAAATGCCGCCGGGCGCACTAGCTACCGGTCCGAGTCTACCACCACTACACTCTACTCCACTAGCCAGCAATCAAGTACTACTACTATAATGAAAAGGAGCATCCGATTCTGATGCGTATGCTATGCAGTAGTAGTTGCCATGTCATCGATCGCCTCCGCATGCATCACCGGCACTGTGCTCGCACTAACTCCGGTGTGTATTCCGTCTTTGCACAAGCTAGCTCGGCATACCCCATACAGATAGTAGACGTAGACGATGATGGCGGCTTACGCGCGCCCATCGCTGTTCTCGCGATTCCTTTCCGGTTGGTGAACGGCCGGAGGAGCGCCCGGCCACCGGCCGTGATGGATGCGTGCATCGATCTCCCACGCGTGCGCCGCGGGGAAGGAATCGTCGGTTTGTCTGTTAACCTCGGCCGATCGATCGTGCGTGCGTGCGTGCGGGCCGGGGACAGAATTACCCGGACGGCAAAGCGGCCGGTTCAGTTGCATGCTTGCACGCACGCACATGCCTCGCCCGACGGGGAAGGAAAAAGACAGCGAGAGCCCAGTGGCCATGGCAAGTACATGGTTTCTTTCTACCCTTTATCCGAAGTTTCTTCGCCGGAATCATTGCTTGCCCACTGGAGCAGCCGATCGCATCTTCTTCTGAGGAAAGAAGAGGGTTTTGCGTGCGACGGTTTGCTGGACTCCTGGGGAATAATTATGTTTCAACAACTTAGCATGATAACTTGTTATGAATATACGTACTCAAATGTAGACAATGGAGAATTGGAGATGCTCTGGCTGTAAGGGTGTATTGTACTGTTGTCCCATCTTTCTAGGACACGAAGAGACGGCCGGCATGGCAAGCCCAGGAAACATCATTCAGCTCTTGTCCCAGAAAGAAATGTGCTAGTACTAGTATTAGTTTTCTTTCAAGTTCGTGCTACAGCCGCCGTGTGCACAATTTTTTTATTTCTGTTCACTCACTATCGGAATATAGAATACTTACTCCGTCCCAAAGTAAGTGTCTTTTGTAGGTTTGTTTAGCCTACAAAACCATCTTACATTTTGGTACAGAGGTAGTGTATATGAACTCATCTTTTCAGACTTAGTTTTTGAACTCATCTTATTTAATCTTATATGTGTGCTAATGATATTTGGAAATATCATGCTTGGTGCTATGCTTTTCTGCCTAGACATGAGAAGATCTATACTGTTGGTTTGGCTGCTATTTGTTGGTCCATTTAAAATTGTCATAACAAATCGGT